TCGAAGAGACCTCGCGCACGCGAGGTGGTCGCGACTCGAATCGACGGAGGGCGCAACACGCGGCGGGTCACCTGGCCGCCATATTTCGGACGAGGGGCGCGTGCCGGTCCTCCGATAACGTGCCATTACGAACGCCTTATTTCCCCCGGAGAGGAGGGAAAGGGCGATTCGGAGCGAATCGATGAATTCGACGGAGAAAAGGAACGGCAACGCGGCGCCCACAGATGCCGGCATCTCTCTCGGCCGTCTCTACAAAGGATGCGCGTGCGCGGTTGCTCTGGCTTGAAAAGTCTCTTGCAGAGATCTTTCGCCGTGCACGCGAGCGCGATCGAGCGAGGCGTGCGGGAGGATTCGGAACGCGCAACAAGTGCGGAGGCTGGGACGGATAACGGCGCCGCAGTCGGTCGATAGCAACCGCTGCGCGTCCAGGGAAGGCGGATCGCTGCGAGCGTCGCCGGCGTGCCGATAGATGGCCGTAATGCTCGAGTGGACTTTCTCGCGAGTGCACCCAATGCTGTCACTTTTTATATAAACCGATTGGCACGCCGCTTCTCTTGGTGGGGTCCGAAGCGCCGGCGCTCACCAGACCTACGAAGCGATGGGGCATAGAGAGGATGTTGCGCGAACGGCGGCTTTTCGCTGTCAAGGCTCGAATGGCAGGGACCGTCAGTCTTGATTTTCCGAACAAAGTTATAGCTGGATTGTGAGTCCGTTGCGTGGGGAAAGACACTTAGCCTGGGTTTTCTTGTTTCTAGAATTCGCAAAGGCGGATTCATCCCCGACCTACGTTGCAACGTCCTTCGTAGGTATGCGTGGGAACGAAGCGTGTACATTGACGCCCACCAACCTTTTATGGAGCTGCGGCGTTGAATCGCGGGAAAGACGTTTTAGGGACTAACGTCGTCACCACATCGCGAGTGCACCCAACGCTGTCACTTTTTATGTAAACCGATTGCCACGCCGCTTCTCTTGGTGGGGTCCGAAGCGCCGGCGCTCACCAGACCTACGAAGCGATGGGGCATAGAGAGGATGTTGCGCGAACGGACTGCGAACGGCGGCTTTTCGCTGTCAAGGCTCGAATGGCAGGGACCGTCAGTCTTGATTTTCCGAACAAAGTTATAGCTGGATTGTGGGTCCGTTGCGTGGGGAAAGACACTTAGCCTGGGTTTTCTTGTTTCTAGAATTCGCAAAGGCGGATTAATCCCCGACCTACGTTGCACGTCCTTCGTAGGTATGCGTGGGAACGAAGCGTGTACATTGACGCCCACCAACCTTTTCTGGAGCTGCAGCGTTGAATCGCGGAAATTAATTCCGATGGTTTATTCATTTTTTTTTTTTAATTATTAAACCCGGACGAATGGGAGAAACTGACTTTTTTCGGGTCACCTCTTCTAGGTTGGAACGGTTAACGAGGCAGTTTCCAGCAATGGCCTTCGTAAAACGGTCGGCAACGTGGTTACGTTAATTTCGGGAGAAATGTCGACCACTTAGGCGCCAGGGTCCCGAAACCTTTTTGCGCCTTCTGTTCCTGCCGAAGATGAAAGCCGATTTCCAATGACTACTGTAACGCGTTTTCGAAGTCTATTGACGGGGGTCGGGAGTTTTTCCGAGATCGGCGCCGAGACAAGCGACGGCACCTCTCGATAATTAGGGAACATCTATAGACTCGGAAAGTCACATCTTGTTGTCGACTGCTTTCGACTTCGGTAAATTTACTTTTCGCCGGTCGGACGCTTTCCTCGATTGTCCTTCCTCGAGCAGGCGCGAACGGAAGAGGCAAAGTCGTTTGCGATGTACCCAACGAGAAAACGTAGCCCCTCGTTTGAACGGTTTCGTCTCGTGCCATTGCGGTACACGCGTAAAGATAATTTTTACATGTAATTTATCGCCGATCCCGGCGAGAGGACGTCCGACAGGTAGTTCAAACACTGTCCGTTCCGCACCTTAGAAAGGGCGGTAATCGTAACCAAGGCGTAAAAAAGAAATTGGAAGGCGCCATGGGAGTCGCGAGACGAATTTTGGCGGCAGACCTCTGAAGTATCATGTCGGTCTTCGTAATGAGTTTCCGCTTTCCGTTCTCGTTAACCAATGAAAGGTCTAATGAATGGGTTAACGAGTTCGTGGCCTAGGCATTCCGGTAGCCTGCCACCTTTGATTTCGACACGGAGTCAGGTGGCCGTAATCGTAATCTGCCTCTTTCGCCTCGTTTCGCGACATCACGAGAGTGGAAATTCCTGGAGGAGCTTCGTACCTTTTCCAGTAATTTTTTCTCGCTGTTAAGGTGAAGTGAAACGTCCTTTAAATCAGTCGATTCGAATACAACACTTTTTTTTAAGGGTATTAGGCCAAACTGTCCAAAACTTTGACACATCCCTCCTGATCAGCTAAGAATTGTCCTGACACATTAAAAATTTGGATCTTTCAAAAAAATTTTTAACTCAGACCAGACCAGAACCAAAATGGCGCCGAGCTCTGATATTTCGATCAATATACAATTATCGAAGGCTCTGATATGAGAATCGAAAGGGTCAGGACAATTTTACGACAATTTAGAACACTCTGGTAATCGATAAACTCGCATTTGAACGAGATAAAGACAAAAAAAGCGTTGTATGCGCTTCTATGCTAAAATGATGGGAATACGAGGTCTCGGGGTGAAAATTTAATTGACTTGGAAATCACAGATGGCGCAGGGGGTCCCTCTGCAGTCAATTAGGGCCCAGAAGGCATGAATCCAGAGGATTTCTGGAGTTTTACTTCGATTTCTTTATAATTATTGTACGAAAACGACAGGTGGAATATGCCATTTGGTACAATACACAATATAATTCGACCCAGCTGTCGATATAAAAACCAACGTCGGCGACATAGGCATTTAGAAAAATCTTCTTTATCGACGTTGATCAAGTTCCTCGACGTGTTTCACTTCACCTTAAAAATCCAAGTAGAAACGAAGTCGCAGTCTTATGCGCGAGAAAGGGAGCAACATCAAAAATGTCGTTTGTATTCCGGGTTTTCGGGGTGGAGGTTTCTTTGGCCACGGTAAACGATGCTTGAAATCGATTTTTGCAGGTCGAGCCCTTCGCGCGCTTGACCGCCGGTCACGCCCAAAACCCCAGTGACCACTCGGTCAACCTGTCCCGAGATTCCCGTGTCTTCTCGCCGACTCGGAAAACGTCTTTCCCAATCATGTGGCCTCTCTCGGTCCGCACTTCTGACGATCTTACAATAGCCGTTGTCAAACGGCCATTCTCGCGTTTACCGGGAGGAGATCGTCCACGTTCCACCTGCCGACAGATTCTACCGTAGATAATCTTCGAAAGGATTGCGAGATACGTTAACGAGAGTCCGACCTCTCAATCTTTTTTCACTTTCGTAATTGCTCGTCCACGGATATTTCGGTCGGTCCAGTTCGCAAAAATTCGGGTATCTGGACATATCATCCGTTTGAGACTACGCGAAAAATGTAGGAACCAAAAATCGAGACGCGTTTCCTTAATGACAACGGAGAGACCAAAAGGGGTATGTCGAGACGAAGGATGTCGACGGTCCATGATTAATAATTCTTTGAACGGGAAAACAGGGTATTTACGGGATGAATAATGAACGGCCGAGTTCCGAAAGAGCATCCAGCGGAGAGAAATGAAAGGGGAAATATTGAAAATTCGTTAAGAGGGCCCATTGTCAGGCACGCGCCGCTGTCCGCCCACGAGTTTTCGGGAATGACCGATTCGGAGGTCCTTCGATTTCCAGAATCGAGGAAAAGGGTTGTCGAGGACTCGCGAGTCAGCCGTCGGTCCAGAACTCGGTTCGCTACGCCTTTCGGCAAATTCGGCTCGGCGTTAACGACTCTCCTAGAATGTATAATTTCTCGGCGGTTTCCAGCGAAACGGTCGGGGTGGAGGCGCACGTGTCAATTCGGATCGGTCGAAGCCGACCGCGCGGGGGTGCATTTTGCCCTGCATCGCAGCCGATGCACGCCGAGGCACCATATGGCGGGAGACTCGTGCCACAGAAGCGGAAGTCATATTTTCATCTCTCCTCGGCCAATCGTACGCCCTGCCTCGTCACTCATTGTCCCTCGAAAACGCAAAACGAAAAGAAGCGCGAGTCGACCTGGAGGGGATCTATAGAGCACGCCGCACAGGAGCGGAAAAGACCAAGAAAGGGAGAAAGTAACCGACGGGGGGTGACTCCGACAGGAAACCGCGATCTTGGCAGGAAGTCGCGAGACCCGGGAAAATCGGTTCGCGTACGGAGCAATAGCGTCAATTGAGGTGCATGCGATTCGTGCAACCGGACATGCGCCGAACGCGCCGTCGAGTAGGTGGAGTACGCATATTCAACTCTACGAATACAGGATAAGGGCCATTTTTATTTACAATAGTCTACAACTTTTCGAACTAGTTGACGTTATTTTACAAAAATTCGAAAATCCTCGATTTAACCGCAGTACCGCTACGAGTACAAGTGCTCTTTGGTAGCGCAACCTATTCTAACGATTAAATTAAAGGCAACGCGATTTGGCTTGTACATTTTTCGTTAACCGTTAACATTATCATTATCGATATTAATAGATTTTTAATCAATTGACCGAGAACGTTCCCTGGAATTAACGATCTCGGGGTCGGCATGAGTACCCGCGATATTCTTATAGTTACGTCTACGGACCGACCGAAATGATCGGTGTTCGAGTTAAGCTAGTCTTTGGATCGTTAGCCGTCTCTTCTATTAATTCCTCCCTCCTTTTTGGAAATAATAGCTACATACGAAATCTCGATCGCATACTTCACTAGTGGGAGTCAACCTTTGGTGCGAGTAATCGACTCGATAATTATTAAGTAAGGCTCGCGGATCGATCTTCGGATCGACCGCACAAATTCGGCACGCTTTGATTGGGACGCATAAATGCGGATTCACGGTCCGGGTGGCTCGTCATAATCTTTGCAATATCGCTTTCTTCCCCAAGACTCGATATACAATTTACCTTTCTTCCGGATTTATCTTTTGCCGCCGTGTCTCTCGAGGAGATCGCAAAGAGCGGCTATGTAAGTCTGGGCCATCTGAAGGGTCTCGAACTTACTCAACTTGTGATCGGCGTCCAAACTTGGGACGACTTCGCGAAGTTTGTCGAAGGCGTCGTTCAGGCCACTCATTCGACGTCGTTCCCTCGCGTTAGCGGCGAGACGTCGTCTTTTCAAGACACTCGGCGAGGGTGGCACGTCTCGGGATCTTCGACGCCCTCTCCGAGGACTACACATGGGCGACGATTGAATTTTCTGTCGAGAAATGGCAAGATTAAGGACTTTTCATAACAAATGAAAATCCGCTCTTCGTTCGGAAGCGTCTTACCTGAACCGACGTTCCTGGTTCCCAGGAATGAGCCGAGGTTTCGTCGAGTTGCTCGGAGGGCTTGGTCTCGAGGTGACGATATCTCGAATCCTGGGGAGGCGTCTCGAAACAGTAAATAGCCGGTTGGTACTCTATGGAATTCTCTTCGTAAGGAATCGATCTAGGTGAAGCGTGCTCCAGAGATCGTCGCGGATCGTACCTATAAAACGGATCGTTACTAATATTGTTTCTTTCCGCTCCCCGAGAAAATTGAAATTGAAATGAAAATTTTTATAATTTTTAGATCCTAGTCTAGCGGAAATAAAAGCTATAAGATTACTTTGGTATAGGTACCTCTGAGGCGTAAGCGGCGTTAGAACTCCATAAGGAACTCTTTCGTAAGTTTCGGACGTCCGCGTATATTCGCCTTCGACGTCCCTGCCGAATTCAACGTTATCCACTTCCCTTCTTGGAGTGAGTTGACCCTCTAGGTGGTAGCTCTCCCCGTAGACGGTCCTCGAAGTTCCGCAATTCGGGGAGTTGTAGGGCGACGGATACAGAGGGTCGTAGGACCTGTTCGGGGTCGGATAAGTCGGGGTCAACATGTCCGTAGACGTCTGGTAGCTGTTGTGGTGATTCGAGAGAAGTGCCATCCTGGACCGAAGGTCGGACTATGGTTCCTTACTATTTTTTATAAGAAGATGGAATAGCAAAATTCACATATAAACTTTTTCTTCCCTCTCAAGAAATTTATTTTCGTTTCTCGATCATAGCTGTCGTCGTCCCTTATCGATCCTCGATATTTTATCCGTCGAGTCACCTGCTTCCCTTTCGAATCTTGGAAGGTGCATAAATTTGTCGAACCTCCTCTCTTACGTCGACCTTTCCTTTTCAAATTTTCTTCGTTTAATTCACGGCCTGCACCTGGAGGATTACGATTCTCCCTCCTCGTCCAAGACACGAGGTATGATATTTCTGCGAACTGGTCCTCCTCCTACGAGTCCTGCCCTCGATCTTCGTCAGGGTGCCATTAAACCCACGCAAGTTGCCATTTAAATTTCCGTTCGATCACCCTGGTGCACTTGACTCTTTTCGACGAACCAACAATTTTGTATATCTTGGCTCGAGTTTCGGCACTGTCACAGCACGCGTTTATCAGGATTACTTGGTCTGGATCCAAATGGGTCTTTGAACGAATGGACGCGTAACGACTCCGTAAGTAAGGCTTGGTAAATCGCCTCGGATGACTCTTTCAAACGGCGAGTTATTTTCGAATTTTATTATCCGTGAGGCGATAGAAGTTGTGTCCGAAAAAGTGGAAACCAGACGAAGAAGAGTCTCGACCTCTCGGCCAAGAGGTTCGAGTCCGAATGTGGCGCGTGCCGAGGCGTGTTCTCCGGTGCATCAACATATGGTCCCACCTCGTTTCGTGCTCATCCCTTGATAATGTGCACCTGGTGCCCCTGGTACCCCTGATTCCCCAGGACTGGTCGAGGCGGGCACCCTCTCCCTCTGTCTTAGCCACCACCACCGGACCGTCGATCCAAGATCAGGGATCCGCGATCTACGCTACTTTCCCCCCGGTTATCCTCGTCCTCGAATCTCAAAGTCGCAACGGCAATGGACTCCTTTTTAACCTTTCAATTCTATTACCAGATTTACGGTATCCAAAACGGCGGAATTGGATGCAGCAGGTATCCGGTAACCGGCGGATGCGCCACCGCGATGACCGTCGTACACCGGGAAGGAGCTCGTCTCGTCATGAAAGGACGGACATAAAGAGACGGGAATATTGGCAAAATATTCGTTCGGCACGGTTGGACCCTCTTCTCCTGACGGAGAAACGCAGAATTCCGAGGGCTAGCCCCGGCAACGGGAAGTGCGAAGGGGAAATCGGAAGGAGGAAGAGAGGATGCAAAGGTGGAGGGAACAGGGAGGCGAAAGGAAGATAGGATCGACTCCGGCGCGGCGGTCCCTTTAAATTCGATTCTCGAGATCGGAAGGCGATAATCTCGGTGGACGGAAGAGAAGGGAAGGTACACCGGTCGCGTGCCGGGCCGACGTCCACGGCACCCGTCCACGAAGGCGAGAGTGTACGAGGGCGAGGACGGGGACGATCGGTCGTACGATACTCCTTCCTGGGTCTTCCCCTCCGAATAAAGCGGTCGGAAAAAGACCCGGCAAGGTGCGTTACCGACCGAGCGCGGAGAGATGAACGAACGATAGACGGGGAAAAGTCGCTGACGCCAAAGCTACTCAACGCGATCGTCCCTTCTCGAGCCCTACAAAGTCTTATTCGCATCTATTTCAATTCGATCTACTCTTCAACGGTGTACGCACTTGCCACGATTTATCCATTCCTGACTTGAAATATTGTCCCTTTCCCGTTTTGGTACCTTTTCTGACCCCGACGAGATCGCGCAGGATTTAAATAAATATAAGGTAGACGGTTTTTGCGCGATCTACAGGTGGTTAGGTGTATTTAAAAAACAAGGCGCGTACGTGAATATTTCCATGCATTTTTTTGCAAGGCTCTATGATGTATTTGTTACTTGCAAGGATGAAGTTAAAAGATGTCGGAGGGAGTTTCGTTGTCGGTACTTGGTACAGTGCTGGGATATCGGTGCCACGAAAAATTCTAATGTTCAAATTGTTTTCGTAGATCTTCAATTTATCGGTAAATTATGTCGTTGACGATTATTGCAGGGACGCCAGAACGGTGAAGTATGAAAAGGCCAGTTGAGCAACCTTTAACAAAATATATCCAGCGTAACGTAACGTCGAATAATTTTAGACCGGTATCTCAGAATTTAGTTTAATATATAATAGAAAGAAATATTTATAAAAGCTGTATGTACCGAACTGAACTTTTCTAAGCACATTGTAAAATGGCTCCCAGCTGAAATGGTGCAAGGTCGTGCACTTCTCATCATCATTAAAATTTGCATCTTTTTAGCTTTTAAGGGCAACCGGTACCATTCCATGGAGTACCTGAAATTTGTTGTGCAAAATTCTTGTCCTATCACGTTTCGAAGAAAATGCCATTTATCATAATAATTTGTTAAATAATATCTATTAACGTACGTACAATTCCGTTTGTATGGCGAGACTTTCGTCCATGATTCTTTGGCCAGGTAAACTGAGGGTAAACAAATGCGTCAATTCTCCCACGGCTACAACCGCATGTCTGATTATTTCTCGTAAATTGTCCAAGTTTGCTACTATCTGAACGCAAAGAAAAGTATTTCAGTTGAATATATGGCCATAAAATAATTTGCTGGTACCAAGATTTTTCTACCACTGGATACCTCATTGGTTTTGCATATTCACCTCGACACCGGTGGTGCTCAAATTGAATAAATTAATCCCAAGAAGGATAAATAGCATCGACGAGTGAGCTTCTTGAAAGTACGAGGTGAATCTAAAACGAAACATTAAAGAACTAAATTCAATTAGCCTTACTTCCGGCCTCCAAGCGACGCGGTACAATATACGTATTCTAAGGACACCCAGAGATTATTCGAAAAGAATGTAATCCCAAAGTATTAGAATAAGTATTTTGAACATGGATTTTGGCTTCTCTGAATTTTCCTAGTAGAGAGCGAGGTACCGACTCGATTGCTTTTAAATGTTGTTCGATACAGGAACCGAGCTCTTGATAAACCAAGTCATTGTCCACTATTTCCAAAGACGTCGGATCCTCTTCTTTCGAGCATATACCAATTAACTTATCTAATCGGTACCTGCAAATGTTATTCCATTTTGTAAAGAAAGACTCTCTACGTCTATTCATATTATTTAAAAAACATAAGAAAATCAGAATTTGTTCTAATCCCACCTGAATGAAAAATGTGTCATGAGAAATTTTAAATTTGGGGGTGAAAAATAGATACGGAATATTATTTCTTACCCTGTGATTGCAAACATCCCACATACGTATTGTGCTAAAAATATGTACGTTACGTCAAAGGCCATAATGCTGAAGTAAAGAGTAACTACTGCTAGTTCTTGATGGGCGAAAATGTGAAAAAAATATTTTTTATCATCCACAAAATATTGGACAGGAAACACTTGGTGTATTGGACGAGATTCGTTGAGAGGATCAATTAAATCCAGAAAAAATGGAACTATTGGTAAAAGTGTGTACGAAAATGCTGCGAGGCCCAACAACACTGAAATAAGGAAAAGTGAATATCATACAACAGTTTTCCTTGCTTTTCATATTATATTACTCAGTGACTTACACGCATACAATATGGAGACGATTCTTGCACTCTCTAGGCGATTTATCATCATTTCACGCTCTTCACGGAAACGTAAATTTTTCCAGTCTTTTTGTATCGAGTTAAACATTGCCATTATCTAGATCGATAAGTTCCATTTAATTTATTTCACAGGGTGTTCCTTTATATTCTTAAAATTCTTTCAAAAGAATAATTAAATTTACGGAAACAACGACAAACCTGTTGGTGTTTTATAACGTGTGTAACGAGTTTCAAAGCGGACCCGGTTTGAGTAAGAAATGGTGTCAGACAGTGTAACCAATTATTGAAAGTCCATTCTTCGAATACTTTACATCCCTTAAACAATAAATGATAATAAATTTCACACTGACACGATATAAGTTTAAAAGCCAAAAAAACTTTTTACAGAACTGCTGCTCCTTGTAGTTCACCTATCTTTGTAATTCAACCGAGTCAAAAGTTATAAGAGGGAGCACAGTACCTGGAAGAAGACAGAACTTGCCAACATTCCCAAATGATATATTGGCAAAATTTTTTTTTGTAATTTTGACTGATACGGCCATCTTCCCATTATTAACAGTAGACCTTTATTGAATTGAAAGTAAGGCTCCAACGAGGAGTCCATTACGCTCGGGAATTCTCTGTGACACTACAAGTATCGGTGTCGTAATGACGTGGCAAAAGTTCCGCTTTCTCCACATGCTTTGTTCGATAAGAGTCATTACGTGAATATTATAAATTCCCTTAGACAGGGTGAGGACAATTGCTACAACACAGGATATTCCATAATTTATTAACTCCAAAGCAGTTTGCGGGGGGAAAGAATAATCGTTCTTTAACCCATTCGAAGGTAATGGCGCATCGTGGAAAGGACTCGAATTCGTGAAAAAAAAGCTTCGGCTTGAAATGTTTCAAATTCAAATAATTCATTACACGTTCTCCTTACGATCCATATATATTCACAAAGAGACTTATGATTTCACGTGGATTTCTATCATTTTTTTCATCGGCATATTAAAGTGAGATCGTAACAATTTTAAACTTTAAGCATGGAAAGGAAATACATTTCCATGTATGGGACATCTCAAACGAATTCGGTCGAATCTGCAATCCATTTTGTAAACTGCCTCGAAAATCTCTCGAGGCTTAAAAAAAAGCTTGAAGTCCCCATCCAGTTCTTTTTTTCGATTTCTCGGTTCTCTACCTATCGACGGTTTCGGCCTATAAGGTTCCTGGTGAAGAAGCGATGCCCCTTGGGAGCGAATCCTGGAGAAGTTGTCGAAAGGTTTCCTCTGAAGTCTTTTTTCGAGAGGATCCTCCCCAGGACATTCCAAAGTCTTGATCACTCTGCGGCTCTCATCGTAAGGTAAGCCTGATGAAAATTATTCATTGCAAGTAATCCTACGCGTGGCTAAGTGCACGGAAAAATAAGAGATAAAAGCGACGCACTTCTGTTAAGAGATACGCGGCCTTGACGAATGCTTTCTTCCAATTCCCGAATCTCTCGTTCGCATCTCTCAAAGTACGTTCCTTTAAGAAGCAACGTGCGTGACATCGATGACTTTTGGTTGCAGCGCTCACGGTTCCGTTTCATAGAGTAAAGAGTGTATTCCAGACACCGCATTGCCTTTTCAATAACCATACAACTGGTCTTATCGATCCTTGTTAGGACACCGGGTCTTATCTTCGTTCCCAGAAGATGATGGAGCTTTCAAAATTGTTAGACTGTTATTTTTAAGCCTTAGAAAAAATTACAAGTACTAATTTGAGGTGTACGAGAGACGACGATGTACCTTGAAGAGTATGTGAAGAATCCAGAGCATAGATTCATGTTCCATGATCTCTCTTATGTTTTCAAACTCGCATTCTCTGAACCTGCCAAGGTAAATTTTATTATCATTTTTTCCTTAAGGTATCCTGAACGAACCTTTTCATTCTTTCTAGGATTTGATCGTTCTTCTCGTAGACGTCGCACAACCAGGATCGCATTTTCCGAATATCCACGCCGTTCCTCCGAACCCAGTACCCTCTCCAAATTGCCTGAATTTGGGTCGCCATGGCATCGTAATGTAGTTGCCACTTTTCATGAACATGCTTGATCAAATAATCCTCTACCGCAATCCTTGCTTTGTAACCGCGCCAGTGTCGTTGAATCGTGGTGGCCGTTTCGTATAATTTTCGATGATGCTTTCGCGTTACGATGCCTCGAAACCAAGCCTTTAAAGGTACCGAGCATAATAATTTTACTTTCGAGTACTCGACGAAACGCTACTTCTTATCATTCATTTTCCTACGTACAGTTTTAATGATACGTTTCAAAAACATTACTTTTGCAGAATATAAAATACAAATGACTCCACGGCGATGGCTGGAATTGATAATAAATCTCATCTGACATTGAATCTGAAAAGATCCAACCTGAATTTTCCTGGCAGCAACAAAGGATGCGCTACGAGAGGATTCGGCAAGATCATGTAGACGTTTTATTTCTCTTTGCAACTCGACTGGATCTAACTTGTGGACTCTTACCGAAGTCATATCTTCCAGAATTCTTAAAAGTACTTGTTATACCGACTACTCAAATTAAACGACTAATATGAATATGATGAATATCGCCAGAAGACTCGAAATGGAAAAAATAATTGACAGCTGTTCTTTCGATATAACCTTCCGTTTAATTAAATGCCTATGGACATAAATGAATAACGTTGTCTGTACAGAAATTAAAAATCTTGAAAACATTTCTGCGAGAATATAATAACAGAGCGAGTTGGGAGATTGCTCATAGGCAGGATCGCGCGATCGTGCTGCCCTCGGTGGGAAGTGCAGGCGGCTAACGGACTTGCCCTCAATGGCGGTCCACCTCAGGAATCAAACTCATTTATCAGTGCTCGATTGTGGAACTTTATACCGTATCGCAGCGAATTAATTTCTACTTCGCAGCTAGTTCGCGAATCGGTGCCATCCTTAGGGGATTCCAGCGAGTTGAGAATCCGTCAGAACCTCCGTCAGAATCGTGGTTAGCATATTTGAATGATTGTTGCACGGTTTTACTTCACTCTGGAAAGAAAAATAGGTAAGATTGTAGAGGAGTGGGGATGACTATATTACTCTGTAGAGCATTCTAATCTCATATGTTGAGTGGTTTCAGGACAGTGCGCATAAGATAAGAAGTGACATCGTATCACACTTTGCATTGTGCACTTTAGCTACAGAACACTAGAAGTGGTACATACATACATACGTAACTTGAGACGAGTCAGAGCATAGTGCATTATGTCAGTGTGGATGAAATCACTTTATGGAACGCATGGCAATTACATTGCATTACTGCTTAAATAGGAGATCATACAAATTTTACAAATTTTGAATGGATACAAATAGGGAGATCTCTCTCAAAGAGTTGTAACTTAAACTTCAAGGTTTGTCAGCAACAAAGCCATGAGTGTAGCAGGTGTACTCCTTACGTGGCTAAATATTAAAAATGCTTCCTGTGGCAATGATACCGATAAACCTCTTGGAATAGATGAAGCATGTTTCAGTGTTGTTAACACAAATGATCATGCTGTCGAATTATACTCTATAGTATCGGAATGCTATGTGGTATGTTTTTAATTTTTTCCAGTACTAATTTCATCGTTATTAAACTTAATCATGTAATTCTTCTGTATAGTGTAATGGAATACCACAGGCAAACCTATCCGCTAATAGCAATACCTCCTTAATTATACCTACAAGGTATCCAATGCATGTGTATTATGTGGATAAAACTGAATATTGTCAGTAAGTACCAAACTTCTAAAGAAGTTACATTAAATAATTTTACTGAAATGTACTTACATTTGAAAACAGCTATGTTAAATTAAGTGTAAGATATGTCAAAAAATGAATTATTTATACATTTTTTCAGTACAACGTTTTCATTTGTACAATATGGCCACTATGGATGGAATATTACTGACAGAAGTTGTTCTAGTATTTATACACTAGCTGAACCGGTAAATCCATATCTTCGTAAGTAATTCACATTTACCTTTGTATATCACAGATGTAGTCAGAGTTTTTATATAATTAAAATGAAGATATTTTTTATGATTAGTTTTACTACCACGTATACTTTACATTTTTATTTATTTACTTGCAGCAATCTTAATGACACTCATAGTTCTTGCAACATGTGCAATATTGGGTACACTTGCCCGTGTTCTTACTGTAAAATGTCGTGCACTGCTACAACGTAAATTTTTGCGTGAAACAGAGAACAGCCAAAATGTAAGTAGTAATTACATGATGCATCATCATTTTAATTTTAATTCTTAAATAAAATATTTTTTTAAGGATAGAGAATGGCTTCAACCTGCCAATCTCGCCGAACCTTTAGTTATGGTATCGAAAACAAAGAATAGAATGCACGTAATAGATGCATTCCGAGGGTAACTATGACATCAAGTGGAACATTTAATATAACTATAACTAATATCTTGCTGTAGTGATATTTATTGTGAGCATAATTTATCATATTATAATGCTTTCAGAATAACCATTTTACTTATGGTATTTGTGAATAATGGTGGTGGTAGCTATCGGATATTTCAACACAGCCCATGGAATGGACTGACCATAGCTGACTTAGTTTTACCATGGTAATCATTTTATTTATTTATGCACTTTTTATACAAAGAATTAGATAAATCAGCACAACTCTTCAGGTTCGCCTGGATAATGGGCCTTACTTTATCCATGTCGTTACACACTCAATTTCGAGTAACAGTTCCTCGAACGAAGATTATTTTAAAAACTGTACGAAGGATGATGATACTGATTTTATTGGGATTAGTGATTAACTCTATAAAAACTCCACCTATAAAACACCTTCGATTTCCCGGAATACTACAACTACTAGCAATTTCATATTGCATATGTGTTATATTAGAAGTACTCTTTGCACAGACCCAGCGAAATTATCATGCAAGTACAATAAAAAATATTGAAATTTAATGTACACCAGTCCACGAAACCTCAAAATTTGCTTATACCATCATATATATTAAAGTCTACACTTTCTATTATAGTTTGGGCGGCTGATGTTCCTACAAGATATTCTGAATAATTGGATACAGTGGCTGATCATTCTGACAATCGTAGCAATACATACACTTATAACATTTTTGCTACCTGTCCCAAATTGTCCAACTGGATATTTAGGACCTGGGGGATATCATCTGTATGGTAAATATGCAAACTGTACCGGTGGCGCAGCTGGATACATCGATAGATTCATATTTGGTAACCACATTTATAATAACACACACAACCCAGTGTATGGACCAGTTTTGCCTCATGATCCCGAAGGTACATCACATAAACACAGTGCTTTTTATGTTATTTTTATACGTTCAATCAATATATTTCTAAAATGCATATCCTTTATATCTTTTAGGTATGATGAATACTATGTCTGCAATTTTATTTGTATATTTTGGAGTACAAGCATATAAGATCGTCATAAGTCATCCACAAAATAAAGCTATGTTGTTTCGATGGTTACTGTGGTCTTTCACATTGGTAATTATTATTTCATATATTCAATAATTCCCATCACAATTATACTTTTTGTGTTTGATGTACTAATATTCATATGCAGGGTATCATTGCTGGTATTTTGAGTAACTTTAGCAAGGAAGAAGGGGTAATTCCTGTGAACAAGAATATGATGTCACTTTCTTTCGTATTAGCAACATCCAGCCTTGCATTTTTTATTTATGCGATACTTTGGTTTGTGATTATGCATAGACAATTTTGGACTGGTGCCCCATTTATTTATGCAGGTAAGCAGTTGCTTCGGTACTGGAATTTGTTTGTTGAAGGCTGTGCAGTTACTTTTTATATCCTTTTAGGAGCAAATTCAATCTTTATCTACGTTGGTCACTATCTAACAATGGATCTATTTCCTTGGTATTGGGAAGTAAATAGTGTGCCGACTCATAGTTCAGTACTAGCAATGAATTTGTGGTCTACAACACTTTGGGGTATAATTGCTTATGGACTTTATAAAAAGAACATCATCATTACAGTATAAGAATATATTGACAAAACTAATCATTTGGTAATTAAAAAGAGAATTGGTTTAAGATGAATTCCATGTTCTTTCAATGTTATTCTAAACTTTGATCAGTCAATGCAATATTTTTATGGAAAAAATGCATTTTTGTATACTTCTTCTAATATATTATTCATTTTACAGATCATAAATATATAATGTTGTGTATGTTCAATAGTGTATAAAAGATAAAGCATATTTTTTATAATCAAGCACGATCAAATAAATATTTAATATTACATGTACGTAAATGTGATTGCGGTTTACATGTTTCTTTCTGTAGGGTCTTTATAGGGAAGCCCCAAAATGTGAAAGATATCTTCTTCGCTTGTAATGTTCTCCGGTTTTCCTGGCAACCCTTCAAGAGTAATGAGTCAAATTCACAATGTACATAAAACGTACTTTAACATGCAGTCTAACTAAAATACCTACCTTCCTCCGTTAAAGGTTTCAGAGAATATTCATTCAGAGTGTATTTCTTCTCTAAAGCATGCTTTCTTATATTCTTATTAAACAAATCACTTCCCGTAAAATAGAGAACTGCGCAATAATATTGATCATAGGGTGCAAGCCTTATGTCCAATCTCCTATTACATTTACTTTCCTCTGTTGAAAGATTACACACTCCCTACAAAAATCAAAGGTAAAAATACATAATCATGTTACTGGTCACAACTTAGTATAACAAATAATATATCAATTATCCACCATAAATTTTGTCTCTCCTTGAGAAATGGTATCTGTAATCAGCTTTTCCTTTTTAAGTACGTTGATAATTCTATCAAGCAGCGAGCATTTTTTCTTTTCTTCTTTATCTTCAGATGTATAACTTGGATGTGTAATTAAAACATCTATGTCTCCACTTTCTTGTTTACCACGTCGGTAACTACCACAAATTGTCACCACATATTGCTCATCTAATTCATTAATGGCATGCTTAATTATTTTTTCGATTTCTATTATTTCATTCCTGGGGATTTTCTTCTCAAACTCATCAAAGTACCTAAAATAATGCAATAAATAAGAAAGTTCTTAAACTTATAAGAATAAAGTGCAGTTTGTACTTAAGGCCAATCTTCTGATGATGGTTCAGTTTGTTTTCATGTTTTCGTAAGTCGTCCAGGTTTTTTATACCAAAATCGTATAATTCTTTTGCTTTTGTAGGTCCTATTCCAGAAACTCTTGTTAGTAAATTAATGGCAACATTGCTCTCATCCTTGTTAATCTGTAATGTTTTAATGTATTTAAATGATGTCAATTATGATAACTGATAATGGATAAAAAAAGTGGTAACAATAATTCAATACTTTGGTAATACCAATATAAATAAACAAAAAGAGAAGCATACATTTTCTAATTTTCTGAGTTTTCCAGTTTCCAAAAATTCATCGATCTTCTTTGCTATCTTTTCCCCAATACCAGGAAGCTTTCTAGCTTCTTCTCCATTTTTTATTCTTGTCGATAATCCACTCAGCACACTTGCTGCTTTACGGTATGCATTATACTTATAGATGTTTTTACTAACGTTGCGTTCATAATTAGCGAGTTCTGGAAACGTAAGAGAAATAGGTTATCCAAAACAATGAAATAACATACTACTACACTTATTCCATAATTGAATTAACCAATTAAGAAGTCGCATAAATCATGATTAAGATTATTCTCTGAAGCAGGAGCTTTTCTCTTGCTCATTCTTCAGATTTTTTTTTTATGTGCGATGTAAATTTGTCAACCGGTCAAACAAGTTTCCAACTTGCAGTACCCGTGAACAAAAATTACTACAGAGTGGCTATGCTTCATGTTTCACAGTAATGTCATGTCGTCACTTAGCGGCGCTTCACCGAAACTATCGTTGGAAACCACCCTCCAGGGTCACCATGTTGCAGCGCATGAAAGCGAATTTTCTACTTCGTGCGTTGGCAACATTGTTCTTTTTCTATTCTCTAGGGCTTCGCTGAAATTAGCAAAGCAAAAATCTATCGCAGTGTAATATAGTTCGTAGAATTATTTATTTGTTGCAATTCTGTACCAATAGAAATTGCAGATGATTTGCTTCAAGTACTTCTCACGATCAATTAGAAAAGCATGTAAAGATCAAATTACGAGGACCCTAACCTCACAACCAGCTACAGATGCAAAAGCAATAGAATCTAGTGAGGGTAAGGATAATTTAGTATTAATCGAATTGTAGTTTAAAATCGTTATACGCGTATTAAAAAAGGGACGAATGTGATGTGTACTTTTTTCAATTTGTAGAGAAATGTATAGTAGTAGACCGGATCGGTGCTGTTATGACAATTGGTATAAATCGTCCTGAAAAAAGAAATTGTTTAGATACCAAAACAGCATTAAGCCTTGCAAACGCTTTAGACTCATTTGATCATGACAGCGAAGCATTGGTTGGTATACTTCATGGAATTGGAGGAAATTTCTGTGCTGGATATGATCTTCATGAAATAGCACAATATACCGGAGATTCAGAAGATAACGTTCCTCATTTTGGACCCCTGGTAACGCTTTTATTCTTTTTGTTCTATCGTAAGTTAATAGTCCAAATTATATCAAGTATAAATAAAATCAAATGGTTACAGTGTAATAGGACAAGCTTATCGAATAAACCACTTATTGGTGTAATGGTGGGATTTACGATTGGAGTTGGTTTCGAACTCAGTTTAATGTGTGATTTAAGAATATGTGAACATACTACAGTAATGGGTTTACTTAATCGTCGATTTGGAATCCCGATGTTGTGCGGAGGAACCGTAAGGTTACCGGCGATGATTGGTTATTCACGAGCCTTGGACCTGATCTTGACGGGTCGATCCATCACTGGAGAAGAAGCATATAACTGGGGTCTTTGTAACCAACTTGTGCAATGTGGATCCGGTAGGTAATAAATACCCATCTTAAAAAATGTTTTATATTATATCCTCTTTGGTGACAAACATTTTTTAACAGGTCTTGGCCGGGGCATAAGTTTGGCTCAATCTTTAACCAAATTTCCTCAGCGCACCTTGTTGGCAGACCGTAGATCAGCACATGCTGCCACATTCGGTATAAATCAAATCGAGGAAGCGTTACAATTTGAAAAAGACAATGCATCCCATCTTTTATTGGAAGAAGGTGTCGCTGGGGCGAAGAAGTTTGTGAATGGAATTGGAAGACACGGGAAATCTTATAATCTCACAAAAATGGACAGGATATCGTTTAAAAGATTAAGCGATGACATGTTATAATCAAACCGTATAAAATGTCTGTAACAAGAAAATAACGAGTGGGTTACAAAAATTGTACATAATATTTGTAGTAAGTTATTTGTAAGTTACTTAAATATAGTAATTCATTGTAATTAAGTTTTCTTTTACCGTATTATTATCTTATACAAATTATTATTATGAACTATCTTTTCGCCTCCAGTATCTATTTTAGGCTCCCAGATAATTGCTTCTTCGATGCTCTTCGAATTTTACTCAGAATCTCCGAAACCCCTTTGCTTGATTTTTTGGAAGTGATCGGCACCATATTCACAATCTGCCCACTGGAATCGCCTGCAAGATCCATGATAACTGGCCAGCCACTTACGTAACAAACTCTCTGGCTTACGTTCGTAGGTCAATATGAGATACGTTGCATTTGGTTGTAAAACCTCGAGGCCCGGGGTATCGGGAACGAAGGAATGAATATTTCTCAACTGGCAAATAGTTTCATCACACAAATCGAATTCACCTGTGAGGTTTGAAATTCGGTATCGGTATTTTTCATCGTCACTATAAATAGCGATTAAACGATAAAGAAGAAAAAAATCTAGAAGTAGGATTTGTTTCGCATTTGGCAGAACCCTCGTTGCAGAGTAATTCCCTCGATGTCATTTAAATAAGATCTTTACTGGACTCGCTAAGTCGGGCAACTTCTCGAATATAGTTGATTATTATGCAAATTGGACAGTCAATGTTGACCAGTAGTTCCTTCTCGTGCGGTATAGCATTCCTCGGCACCTCCTCGCTTCCTTGGCGATGACTCCCTGAACACACAGAAGGTCGATTCAGTAAACAGTAATGCCTTGTTAGAAGTTACCGTCCAAAGTCCGGTCGATCCTACCGTCGCGAAAATTGATATCATCTACATGTTTGACTTTAATCACCGTCCCCATACTCGCGGTTGGGATGAATACGGCCAGATCGAGTATCTCGAAAAAGGTTCAAGGAACCGGACTTCTCGAACTTTTTCGTGTTTACTCGAGCCGATCGAATTAAACTCGCGCAACGACACATCCGAGGTTAATAAATATCACCGAGGACCCTGACAAGTCTTACGCGTCATCACGGGTCCGTTCAGGTGAACCAACAATCGATACTAATCGAATTTCGTCCGTTTCGTATCGCGTCTTGTATCGACTTTTATTTTCGACCGCGAAGTTCGGTCTCTACTCGAGCGAGGGGGACGGGGTTAAAGAGGTGGAAACTAAAAGCCGAATGCATTAAAGACGAGGCGAATTTCTTTCGGTGCCTCGACGCTTACGAGTCGCTCGACGCCGAACGACATTGACGCAAGGCCCGGGTTAGAAGGTCGGATTGGAAACAAAAAAAAAAAAAAGAAAAAAAAATGGCCAGAACCTATCGTCAATTTCCTGGCACGCGAGAAAGGTCGGTGACTGGCCAAACCGACGCGGTTCTCGTCTCTCGTCGTTGGAATTCCAAGCGAGACGGTAGGTCACCGTTTCGGTGAAAAACGAGAGCGAAACGGAAATTCCTCGAATAATCGCCGATTCGAATTATATCCTCCGGTCGATCGCGGTCTTTATTAGCGCCGAGAACGAAAGTATTTCAGGTTTACCGGTTAATTGCCGCATTCCGCAAAAGTCCGCGTTTCGGTGCCCGGCAAGAAACGGCTCGTAAAACTCGAGTTGGATTTCTTCCTAGCGCGTTGCCCGGCAAATTCTCTTGCGACAGCTGCACGAGCAGTTGTATAAATGCAAATGTAAAGTGGCGAATTTACAAGAGGATTGCGTCAGGGCCGCGTCGATGCGCGCGTAAATTGGAAGCCTGGACCGTGGCGAAAATACGTTTTCGCCGCGGTACAGTTTATATCGGGAAAATCGAAAACTATTTACCTTAGATGTCGATGCGCGATCCGCGAGGCCAAACGAAGCGTCTTCTCGAGGGTTTATTTTCAGCTCGAAAGGAGGAAATCGGGTAGAACCCCGCCGATCGAGCGATTCATCCCAAGGGACGTCGAGAAAGGATTTCGGGGTCCCGCGCGCGGCATCCCTGTCAGATAGATCCGAGGCGGAAAAATCGCATCCCCGGTGGAAGCGACCCGGAGGCGGTCACGGGCCGCGCCGGCCGGCGTTCCCGGTAATTGCCAATAGTCCCTAGATTTCATATTAACTCGAAACAACTACAAGTTTAATCGGAGAAAGTAACACGAGCTACCACCGTCGCCGGTTAGTGGCGAAACGAGTGCAGGTGGCGGCATATCGTTGCGCAACATCCCCACCCCTGGGGCCCTTCCTCGGCCAGCTTCGCCAGCCTTGCCTCGTCTTATCTTACCTTGCCTCGGTGAACGGAGGACCCGCCTCGGCTTTGGGGTTAATCGATCGCCAAAGTCGCTGCTGAAGGAGGAAAATCCCGATCGTTCCTTTCCCGGGCGCCCGGTCCGTTGTCCAAGACTCGAGCGTCCTCGGGATCGGATCCGGGAGACGCGACGCGGGAAGAACTTCTACGAGAGAGGCGCGAAGGACTCCCTCAGGATATTAGAATTATTTCGCGGCCGATTCTCTGGAATTTCGGCCCCGACGGGATCGCTCGCGGATTTTCCTGGTTCCCTCCGAGAGGAGCGGGCCAAAGATCCGGCGATCTCGTCAAGGCGAATCCGAGAGGCGAGCGCTCTCGCCCCGGGCTCGCGGAAGCGCAGGCTCGAGGAACCGAGCTCCGGAGGGCACGTCGGAGGGAGGCGACTTCCGGTTCCGGGTGGTCGGAGGGAAGGAGACGCTCCAGAGCCGGTCGGGCCGCGCCGGAGAGACGGACCGAGGCTAGAAAGGGCCGCCGCGAGGTATTCAGGCCGCGGCAAGGCCGCGTCGCGTAAAAGCGCGGTAAATAAAATGTAGGCCGTTACCTGGCTCGAGGCGGCCCGCCGTCGCGGCTCGGAACGAAGGCGGCACCGCCCTTAGGCCGCGAATCGGGAAACTCGGCGGCGTTTCGCGCCAAATATCGCCGACCGGCGAGCGTCGAGGGGACCCGGCCGTGGACAACGGAAGCGGCGAGAAGCGAAAAAAGAGCTCCACCGGAGGGAAAGCGTTTTCCCTCCTCCTCCGGGCGCGGAGACGGAACGGAAAGGTCCCCGGATTCTCGTCGGGGCGCGGCCGAGAGGAAAACGAGAGTCTCGCAAGGAGAGCGATTCGGGCGAAACCCGCGACGTCGGTGCCCCGGTTTCGTCACCGGCCCTGGCAAAAAGGAAGATCCTCGCCGGGGAGAAACTACGGGTCGGACGAAGGAGGAGAGGAAAAGGATACGGTTTCCCTTTAAGCGCATCGATTGATCTCGATCGGTTCGAGCTCACGGGCGGGGTATCGATTCGCGAGCCGACCGCGAGAAGTCGAAACGCTCGTCGGCGCGGTATCGCGTGTCCGACCGACCCGGTTGGAACCGCAGCGTGAGGACTTTACCGCCGTCCTCACGGGAAGAGGGTGGCGCGGGCCACGCCCGGACAAACAACGCTTTCGGCGTTCGATCCTAGAAGACCTTTCGAGGATCTCCCGTCGCCCCTCTTCCCGGTCGATCCTCTCGGGCGGCGCCTCGCCGAGAGTCGAGAGCTCGCCGCGGCCACGCATTCCGAGCGTAACCGAGGGGAACTCGGTGACGCAACGGTTGCACCTCAATTTCGCCCCGGGTGTCGCAACTCGCTTATCGCCCGCCCGCGGGAAACGTTCCGCGAGTAGCTCCTTTCCCCCCGAATTCTCCCGACCGCGGGTTCTCCGAACCGCCGCGAGCGGAAGGACGGAATCAAGGCCCGAGACGTCGCGATCCGGCGGTTACCCTGGAAAGAGAGAAACCGCCCGAGCGGCGCCGACGATAGGGATATCTCGTGAGAGTTCGCGTCTCGTCGCCCGGCCGCTCCAGGACGGATCGATCGAAATCGTCCATCGACTCCGGGAGGGCCCGGACGACGGGCGGCTTTTCACAAGCTCGCGCGATATCCGAGAACGTTGGCGCGCCTCCGATAGGCGGTCGACGGTTCTCCCCCTCTCCCCCCTCCTTTCTCCGCGAGTATTTTTCTTCATCTCTCATTTTCGAGGTCGGTCGTGTTATTTCAAAGAGACGGCGAGAGCTCGCCCCGTTATCGCGGGCCTCTTTTGGCGCGGATTGATCGCGAATCGAGAGGCCCGATCGAGTCGACCTCCGAACTCCGTTCCCGGCGGCAGACTCAATCCCGGACGCGCGAGAGTCTCGACCGATAGCGAGAGCTCGATTTCGCGCTTTTTCCCCCGGCCGGGAGGACGCGAAAACGCAAACTGTTCTGGACGTACCTGGTCGGCTTTACCGGGTGCAGCCGGATAACGAGGGTAGGGCGATCCGCGGTCCGTCTCCCCCTCGGCGCCGTCCTCTCGTCCCGCCGGTCGAAATCGAGAAAAAGGGAAGGAGCGATATTGATAACTCGTGACGTACGGTACCCGGTTCACGGTGTTTACATGGTATTTATTTTCGCCTTTTATCCATATTCTTATAACAGTTTTATATACGGGAATATATATCCGTGGGCAAGTCGGAGAAATAGGAAAAAAAAAGGGGGAAAAAAAATAAAAGAATCCAGATCGACGCCCACTTTTACGTTCAGATATATCCTTCAAAATAGACGGCTCTCTTCTATCTCTATCTCCTTCCCTCTCCCTGTCGCTCACTCTCTCCCCCTCTCTCGCTCCTCCTCTTTATTTTTCTCAATATACAAACGGTAACGTTAACTTTAATATTAATCATTATTGTTTATCATTAAATCATCGGATCAACGACGTCATCGTAATTCCCATGACGCGCGACGCGCCGGCGTCGTCGTCGGTGTGGCCGTTTGCATCCGTCTCTTTCTCTCCCGCTCGACGCTCGGTACTTCGCTCTCGCTTTCGCCGATCTCGCCGATCCCCGTACTCCGCACTTCGGGTCGACTCCCAGGTGGTTTTTATATTATCCGGGTATACCCGCGCACGCATGCCCGTAATCCGCGGTACGTATGTACGATGTAGGTACGTATGTACGATGTAGGTACGTATCTCGGACGAAAGCCTCCGGCAGTCCCCTCGGGAGAGGTTCTCTTTTCGGACTCGTCGTCCTAAGGAAGGAGGACGAGGTTCCTCCGAGAGGAGGGAGCGCGAAAAACGCCCGTTTCCCCGACTCGAAACGACTCGGAATCGCTAAACGCTAATCGATCGATGCGTCGCGGGCGATCCGACGAGTCGGGCACCGCTGCCGTCGCGACGCCCGCAGCGGATACGCCCACGATCGAGGGGGTACTCGCTTAGGAAGTCGTCGATTTTAATGCTCGAAATCACGTGGAAATCGTTGGGAGTCACCGTACGCTGTCGCGATTTTAAGCCCTATTATCACTCCTTATCGAATCGCGTTCTCGCTTATCGGATGAACTCGGGCAGTCGGTTCTTAAAGGGAATCCTTTTCCCTGATTTCCAAGTGACCAACCCCTCGCGGTGGACGATGCTCAGGGTCGCCGGGTACTTCCGTTTCGGTTATCGGTTCTTTTTGATTAACCCCTTAACTTGCTCGAGTTAATTCCAGCGCGCTAAACGGGCCAAACTGTGCGCACCTCGAGATAATTCGAGCGGCGTTGTATTTTCTGCCTCTATAATTTTTCACCCTCGAATATAATCGAGAATTTTATTTATTTGCCAAGACAGAAGTAGAAGTTCTAGTATTTTTTTTATATAAAAAAAATTGATTTTTTGGCCGGTTTTTTTTTTTTTTTTTAATTTGTGGCGTTAAGGGGTTAAAGCGTAAAACCCGAGGTGTCCGACTTTCGCCGCGAGCCCTGAGGATCGGCCCGACTCTTTGGTTCTGCGGACTTTGCGCAAATCTTCCCCGGCTTTTCCGGCCCCTCGAATTCGACCGCATCTCGCGATTTATCCTCCACTTTCGGGCGTTCCTCGTCGCGTCGATCGGATTTACATATCTCGAGTAGTTTCGCGCGTCGAGACGATGCTCGCGTTTGATTGGCATCTCACTCACTGGTTCATTAATTAAGGCGTCCGAAATGTCGAGCAACTCTCGAGGTCCCGTCGATCCAACGTCCGTGGGAAAATATTCAATTTCAAGAGGTCGCGCTTTTGGCCGGCATTTTTCAGACTTTCGGAGCCGATCGCGATGCCTATCGCGTACGACTATTTACTGACTACCGATTCGAAAGCGACCCATCGATCCTCGTTCCGTGGCAAGCCTTGGACAGTGCCGTTTCGAAATGGGAATTCAGGTTTAGAGACAGCATTTTTTGAGGTAGATTTTCCTTCGTCTTTTCCTTTCGATCGTCCGGAATGGTCAACCGAGGGAGACGCGTTCTCTCTCCCCGCGAGAAGCCTTTCGATAACCGTCAAAGTGGGGCTTTTTTCTTTAGCTCGGCTCGCGGTCCACTTTCCTTCGGATTGTAGGAAAAAAAAAAAAATACACATCCGTTTGCTGCTACTTCCGTTTTAATTTCCTTTCGCGAAGGACTAGCCGCGCCTCTCCGGCCTAACGACACTGCAGGGCCCTCGATTCGGGTGAAGTCTCCAAAACGACGAGTCAAACCGACGAAAGTTCGCATCCACGATCCTTGAGATTTATTTCAATAAATATTCTACATCGTTTCGCCTAAGACGAGTAAAAATATCAACGACAGAAGAATGACCAGTAAACGGCGAGTGCACACATAGTCCGAGCAACGTTTGCTGGCCGTCCGAAACGGTTTCCCAAAATTGTCCCGAGGCCGATTCGATCGCCCATAAAGGTCGAGAAAGTTAAGTTGTTGGAACTAGTCGATCCCTTGAAAAAAGAAGAAAAAAAAGAAGATATATAGAAAAACCATAGGATTCGCCAGCGCAACGCCACGTTTGCCTTCGCGCGCGCACGCTAAGCGTGTTTCCTTTCCTTTTCTATTTTTTTTTTCCCCCACAGAGTAACGTCAGTTCTCGATAACGGTACTCGCCAGAGAAAAATCTTCCCAACGAGAATTATTCTCCCCGCAATTCCGTAGAACTTTAGTACGAGACATTTCCCTCTAAGTCGAATCGTTCGGTTTCGTCGGGCCGTGAAACGTGTACTCGCAAGTCTCACTCGTTACTTGTACGCGCGTCTCTCCCGTGCTTCGCTCGAACGGTACTCGTGTGTGCACCTGTGTGGATGTACGCGTGCAACGTAAACGTATATCAATCTGTGTATATTTACTCGTATAAACCGCTCCCTAGTCTCATTCCTCGCGCAGGACTCCTAAGTTACTTTTCGTAGTTGTATTCTGAAACCCTACGATCTATACGATAGTCTTATACAGTCTCGGCTGTACTATTAATTACCATGTATTACATCATAATTCAGTAGGCATTACACATAATATATAGATAATCATTAGTGTGGCTTTCTCTCAATCCCCCCTCCCTCCCTCTCTATCTCCCCTCTCCGTAGTAAAACATATAACGATAGCAGCTGAGCGAGACGCAATTATCGGCAAATGTGACGAGAGCGTTGAACACTTAAAGCGCTTAAACGAGTACAATTCAATGTGCCTCCCTGTACGTGCATTTCTCTTAACAGCTCGTTCCCTTGAACAACGAAATACAAATTAAAACCAGTCGACTGAAGGTAAACGAAATAAGGATTACAAATTAAAAATAAACGACCAAGACGGAACTCTGCCGATCGAGTTCGGAGCACACATATACCGAACGAGACTCGTGACCGACTAATCGAACTCGATCCAACGAAATTTTTATCCCAAGTACTACCCAAGTAGGTCCGAAAGCGTCTCGTTAATTTTACCGTAGACCAAAGACCACCGATCGCAACGCGCAACGACCGAGGTATCAAAATTCTAGAACTGGACGCGTCCGGAAATTTGGACTGAATTCGTTTCATTTTTTTTTTCTTCTTTTTTTTTTTCTTGAGATAATTCGACACCCTTCGCAGTCGTCGGCCGGAACGCCTCTTTAAAGAATCGACCAATTTGGTCCACTTTGGAACACTTTCGAATCGACCGGCCTTCCTCGATTGCCCCGTCGATTGCCTAATAAATATCGAGTATTCTTTTTTTTTCTTTTTCTTTTCCCTTTCTCAACAAAGAGGAAGCCTTTCGTTTTGTCACCCAACGGCTCGTCAGGGACCGCCGCGATCTCGCTTTCTTCGTTTTTCGCCTTTTTCCACCGTCCCCTCCTTTCTCCTTCCGGTTCCTCGGCCGCGAGGACCGGAACGAAACGAAACCCCGAGTTATGCATAATTGCGTGTACGCTTGTATCTAGGTCTTCGGTGTCGGGGAGTATATACATGGAACGTACGACCATGTACGGAGTGTTCGCGCGAGTGCAACGCGTATACGCGATCGGTTGCGCGTTTAACGCGTCCGCACGTCCTCTCTTCCTTCCCTCCGCTCTCTCACTCTCGCGCGTTTCTTTCCACGTTCAAAGACACGATTTCCCCCCCCCCCCCTCCGTCACTTTCCTTCGCGTTTATGTACAACCAGTATTCCGTTTCGTTATTTCATACCCCTTAGGAAACGCGTTCTATCCGCACGTTAGGATATATACATATACACGCCCACACACACGCACACACTCGCTCACTCTCATATATGTATACATTATAACCTCCGTAATTCTCGTACAATAATTATTAAATAGCTAATAAAATTATACATTTATATATAGTATATATAATATATATATATATATATTCTTGCAGTAATAACAAAGTCGCGCGACGCTTTCGTTTCTCGCTAAATAAAAATGTGCAGCCTGAAGGTCGTCGCCTGCGCCTCGCGAGGATTTTTCAGTCGTCCGCCCTCTCCGTATCTCTGGTTTATATATCCCATTTGATCGAGATTTGCGTACCTTAACCCGCGAAAAAGCGATTCGCGACCCGTGACCAACGAAAGAAAATCAATCCCCATCCCAGGTCCGCGATTCTCACGCCCCGAGGTTCTGGCAAACATATCGTCTGTCGGATTTCCGTCCTTGTCGCCGGATCCGCGACTTTTATCGCCGATTCCTCTTCCACCCTCCCTTTCGACTGTTCATTTCCGCTCGATTCCACTTAACGCCCCGACTCCGATGGCAGGAAAATTGCAAAACCGACGGTAATTACCGAAACCATCGGATAGACGACGATACGTACAAGCGGAGTCTCGTTGTTCCGGTCGCACGCGATCGACGTATGGGGTTTATCGAACGAACCGGCCACCCCCTGTAGGTCGTTTGTCAAATGGCGGGTGCCTCGACGGAACTCGCGAGGAAGACCCAAATCTCGGAATTCACCCGAAAGCCATCCTCAATCAAAGGCGGCTCAACGAAACTCGAAAAGAAACCCGGTAGGGTTGCGAGTACTCCCAAAAATACGACGCGGAAAAACTCGAGTCTGGCTGCGCGAAAAGAAGAAAAGAAAAAAGAACCAAACAAAGCAAAAAGAACCGGGTGGCACCGCTCGCGCCCCCCTACAAGTTAGACCGGGGGTCTTTCCGAAGAAGTAGGAACCCCGAGAAATGAATAAACGAGGAACCATTTTTCTATCTTCAACCGGGGCGGTGTAGCCCCCGCGATTCAGGGTAACGCGGACTCGGGAGATTAACCGCGATCGATGGAATCCTTATCGTAGAGGCGAGCCGACAATCACGCTTTATGGGGGGACACGAAACCGCGTCGATGAGCCCCGGCTCCGCGGATCGTATTCCGCCATCGGATCAACCACCGGGGACCGCGGTGTCCAATGAAAACGGAAGGAACTCGGAGCCGAAGATTCGGCCCTTTGGATTTCCCGTCGACCGGGCTTCGCAGGGTCCGGTCGAGGTGGAAAAAGCCTTTTCCCGACTGACCGGTCGGGAGGCTCGGCGAAATTCGGCCCGCGCTCGGGAAAGGGGGCCCACCGGAGGTCGATCAAGGCCGCACCGGAAGTAAAAGCGAGTCGCGCGAAGCCGGAAGCCCGGAGAGGAAATCCGGGACGCGCGTTCCTCGCGCTAGCCGTCGAAGCGTTCCCTTTCTCGCGAGCGCGCGCCGGTGCCCGGGGGGGCGCGCATAGGTGGACGGGCGCACCGGCTGGCTTCTTAGCGTTAACGCGATACCTGAAAAACCAGTTTGCGGGCTTTTTATTAGGTCTTACTTTCGCTCGCGACCGAGCCAAGTAACGGGGTCACCAGTCGATATCGAGCCGAGCGGGTAGAGATCGCCTAGCCGGGGCCCCGGGTCTCTCCTCTCCGAGCGCGCCTTCGGCGGCCGGCTCACTCTCTCTCTCTCCCTCGCTCCAAGTATTAAATAATTACGATATCTAATAAAGAGGGTTACGCAAACGCGGCGCAAAAGGGACCGGGAGACGCGCTCCTTCCCTCCCTACTCCGGACCGACGGAAGCCACCCCGGTCGACCGCGACGATAGTCGCCTCCTTCGGGGACAATCGAGGATCGGGAAGGGACTCAAGAGTCTCGTATGGCTCTCCCGCGAAGGTACGAGATTCAGGCTGCAGCGTCTCGGGCCTCTCCGAGGGGTCCACGACTCGCGAGCGGCCGCCCGCCAGGAGGGAATGCTCGAGATCCGCGTATCGCGTCGCCCTCGCCCGACCCCGTGTACGGTTCGTTTCTTTAAACCTTAAACGTAGTACCTAAATGAAATGTGTTCACAGCCACACATTAATGATCTAGCGGGCGCGGACGCGTGCCCCCTTCGTCCCGCCGAGACGCGACGCGACGCGACCCGGCACCGAGGCCAACAAAATCGCGTCGGAGATACAAGGGTGGGCTTGACGTGGGCGGGGGGTATGCGCGGGGAGTGTGTGTGTACGTGGGTGTATGCGGGTGTTTCCGTGTCGCGTGGCCACCGACGCGATTCCCCGTCCTCGGGTCCCATCGCGGCTACCTCGAGCGGAGCCTCGGGGGGTCCTCGCGGGTCCTCGGTCCTCGGGCTCGAGGGGCCCCTCACGAGGAGCAGGCCATCCAGGAGTTGCAGGTGGTGCAGGTGTAGCAGGCGGTGGGGACGACGGGCGCGTAGTAGTAGCCGTTGGCGTAGACGTAGGTGGGCGGAGGCGGCGGGGCGGCGGGGGCCGAGGCGGGGGTGGCCTGCGAGAGCCGCTGCTGCTCCTGGCACAGGACCTGGTAGGCCAGGCTCTCGATGAGCCCCAGGGTCTGCCGCCGCTCGTGGCCCATCAGACAGACCGTCGACTCCTCGACGACGCCGTGCAGGAGCGTCAAGTATCGGTACTTGAGGGCCTCCTCCTCGGGGCCGACGAAGTGGTTCCACAGGTAGTTCTCCAGCTTGGCCCGCTGCTGCCCGATGTCGGGGAAGTCGATGAAGAACCGGGAGCACATGTACCGCTCGAGGGTCTTGATGTAGTCGGGCTGCGAGGGCTCGTACATCTTGACCAGGAGGTTGCAGTACTTGAGCAGGCCGCCGCCCCGGATCTCCTCCGGGTGCCTCGTCGAGATCAGCTTCTTGTGGAGGTGGTAGAGGGCCTCCCGGAAGTCCCCGTAGACGGACTCGCCGACCACGGTCGGGTAGAAGTTCTCGCCGATGGGCAGCTTGCTGCACTCGTAGAAGAGCAGCAGCGAGTCCAGGACGATCTGGAAGGAGTCGACCGAGAACTCGAACTGCCGCCTCATAGAGTCGACGAACTTGAGCTCGACGTTCCGGTGGCCCCGCGAGTTGCCCAGGGAGATCAGGGACCAGCGGTCCCCGTCGTTGTTCACCTTGACCATCTTCCCCACGTAGGCCTCCTTCAGGCTGCAGGTGGTGATGCGCTTGCGACTGACGCCCTCGGGCAGCAGGTCGAAGAGCGAGCCGAGGACGGCCGCCTTCACGCGGTCGTAGTCGCGCCCGCTCGAGAGCTCGACCGCGAAGATGAGGTCCAGGTCGTTGTAGGGCTGCGACTCGGTCGCCAGGACGTGGGAGGCGGCGCCGCCGTTCAGCCGGATGTCCCGCACCCGCATGCCGGCCCCGCCGCTGCCCGGGTCGGCCTCCAGCTTGCCGCGCACCACCGTCACCAGGTCCCGCAGCCGCACCTCCAGGGTCGGGAAGTTGCCCCTGCCGTGGATGCTCACCACCTCGTTCATCACGTCGTTGAGTCGGCGCACCTGCTCGAAGCTCAGCACCGCCAGTCGCTGCTGCGCCTCCGAGTAGTCGCCGCTCGTTTTTCCGGTCCCCTGGCTACGGCCCGGGTCCTTCTTGCTCACCTGACACAGGGACTCCATCCTCGCGACGAGGCGCTGCCTCTCCTCGCCAATGTCCAGGGAGCCGCACTGCAACACGTCAAAGGCAGAGGGTCAGAGACCGTCGCTCTTCCGAATTGAAAAAAACGCGTCGCTCCCCGACGGTAACCTCACGACCGGTCTCTCTCCGCGTGACGTCTGACGGCCGACGCGGTACACGCCGCGCAAAACAAAATACGGCGTGCCAAACACGTTAAACCGATTCCCCCTCCAATTGGATAATTACCGCCGTCCTCGCGAAACGTCACCGCGTTCTCCGCTCGGCCACGGACACCCAGCGAATTCTCCGAACGTGCTCGAAACCGTCGGCTTCGACGCGTAGCGGCAAAAGAGTCGCAATTTCCCCGTCCCTCCGTCTACCCGAATCCCGCTCTAGGCTTCGAACAACAACGCTCGAGATAGAGACCGAGCTCGTTTCTCTGTAATCCGACTTGCCACGTTTGCTCGTCCCGAAAGTACCGGACGATCCTTCCCTACGACCAGGATCCTCGAAACGCCGGCAAATCTCGTTTTCCGTCACAAATCACCGCGTACCGGTAGCGGCGAGCTTCCGATACGCCCACGCCGCCTAAACCCGCGTCGCAACCCGTCGGGGAGTAAAAGGAACGACGCAGCGGGCCGTTAAATTATCTCCCGATTGACCGGAGCCCGTCCGGCTCGCGACTACGCCTTAAAGGGGAAGGAACGAACCTCTCTCGGTTACATCCACCGTCCGCGGAATCGGATCACCCTCCTTCGGAGGAACCGCGCTCCGGCCTCGAGAGCCCGGGGGAGTCCTCCGGCGATCGCGCGACGTCGCAGCCAGAGCGTGGCGCAGAGCCGCCTCTTCCCGACGTACCGCACTCCGCGAGGCGTTGCGTGCAACTGAGCGGCTCCCCGAGTGAAAGGCGCCTCACCGCCGCCGCCGCCGCTTGGCGCGCCGCCTGGCGGCCGCGAGCGCGAGCGCTCCGGTACTTTCTATGACGTCACCCGGCCGTCGACGAGAGAGCGCGCGGGGGCGTCTCAATGAACGAGGCCCGCTCCCCTCCTCCTCCTCCCCCCGCCGGGGGTTGCCGTGCCAGCGAGGGTGGGTGCGAGAGAGACGGAGCGAACGGGAGCCCCGACGCCCACGAGCCGCAGCCGAGACCCTGGGGGCCGGACCGACGGAGACGGAGAGACCGTCGACTGCGCGAGTCCGAGGGAGACTGCGCTCCCGATTGACGTGGCGCGCAACTACGTCTTTCGGGCACCGCTCGGGTCTACGTGCCGGAGGGAAGAGAGAGAGAGAGAAAGCGCGAGGCGGGAGACCCGGTGAATCTCCCGGCTCTCGGAGGAAAAAGTAGTCCTCGCGTCAATGGGAATCGCTTGGCGAAGTTGCGCAACCTCTCCTCCGCGGAATTCCCGCGACCGTAGAGAAAACGGAATCGTCCAGGCGTACGCGAGGAGATCTCGGTTCCGATTTAATTTCGGACCTAAGACAACCGGATGTTCCCGAACCACTGGGTGGAAGAGGCGCGCGCACCCTATACGGGAACCGCAAATCCGGTTCCTTGGGACGCCGAGCGGAAGGGTGCGGATTTTGACTTCGATCCGCCGGGGCGTCTCGGTATTTTCGTCGAAATCGTTTCGCGCTCCCCTAGAGATCGTCAACCGCGCGGGCGGAAGGGGGGGCGGCGCGCGTTCGTTCGCCCGGAGTGTGTGCGTGTCCTGGGAAAGTACTATCGATCCGCCGTGGCGCCATAGGTAGGTCGGTCGGTAGGGTCGACGCCTACGTCACCGGCACCCTATGGCTGCTGGACCCAGCCTTTCCGCTCGCAGCTCCCCTTTCTTTCGGCTCGTTCCGTTGAACCCGCCGACGTAAAAGCGGAGGATCGCGTACTTCCGGCCTCGAGGCCTCGCGATTCGGCATCTCCTTAATGGCCGAGGCGGCACCCCCGCGGAGAGCCCGGTCGCGCTCCGTCCCCGGATTTTCGGATTTCTGGACTTCCGGATTCCCTCCGGTACGAGTCGACGTCGAAGTAGCGACCGCGTCGTTTTCGATTCCCAAAGAAACGTCAGAGGTACCCGAAATGTCGGCGAGACCCCTTTCGACGGTTTCCTGGGAAATGGCAAGCTATCACCTGGTGAACCTTTCGACGTTCGCGCCTCCTTAGAGGCGCTCGAGAAAGTCCCTCTCTCTCTCTCTCTCCGACCTATGTCTAAGCGATACAATTAATAAAAGATGAAAAGGGAAATAAAGCACGTGCGGTGAGTATCCTCGCGGGCGAAGAAACGGAATAATTCCGTCTCCTATGTAGGGTGTGCGTGTGCGGTCCTCGCGTGTGCGGTCCTCGCGTGTGCGGGTATAAGAGCGACGCGATTCCGCGCAATTCCCGCCGAGGGCGATCGAACGCATCGACGATAGGAGAGTCGTAACTTATCGATCGTTCCGATAGCGGAATCGATATCGAAACCACGGCCGACCGGAAAAGCTCGCAAGGAAATTACGCGACGGGAGTTACGAGGAGAGTCGGTGAGGTCTGCACGACGACAACGCGCAATTCTCTTCGACCTACAGGCCAGTAGAAAGGAAACGGGTAAATAATTAATGGCGCATCGACGTGCTGAAGAATTTAACGCCGACACTTATCGCGGATCGGAGGTACGACGACGGCGGGGCACGGTGCCCCACATTCGAGCGACACCGAGCAGAGGGACGATCCAAAGTTTCTCGAGAAAGAAACGCGGGGTTTTTCGTCAACCCCCGAAAAAAGGAGCGGAACGTCCCCCGGAACCGAAGGAAAACACCGTTCCTCCCGATATTTCCCGCAGAAAGGACCAACTACGGTGGACCAGAATTTAGGAAGATCCCTCGCGGGCCGAGAGGCGGATCGGGACCACCTGTAGGAATCCGCGTCTCTCCCGCAGCGCGGTCCGGCGGAATCGCCGTTAAATTTTACTACCGCCTTTCGATCGGAGGGGAAACCCGAGTCGAACCCTTCCGCAAGGATTTCCGAATTTCCGGAACATCCGAGCCGGATCGGTCGGCCGTAAGATCCATCGACGACGTTTCTCGAGTCGCGAGGAATTCCGCGGAGTCGAGGACGGGCCCGCTCGGTCGGAAAAGTGAAACCGAAATGAATATTCGGCGGGCGTAACGCGCCGTAACGGGAAAGGAGGTCGAACCGTCTTACGAGAAGAGGACGAGGTCCCGGTTACGAGGTCGTTGCCCCCCGGCCGAAGGAACTGGCGACCGGAGAGTCGGCAAACGGGGCGGAAACGCAAACGCGACCGCGTCAAGTGGGTCGAGAAGGTGAAATCGAGGGATCTTCCCGTGGACGGCGAGATCGACGCCGCCGACGCCGTCCGCCGCGGCGGTCTCGAGAGCGAGATCGGGTAGGATAAGACCGGCTCGGCGTCGGAAAGCGCGAAGCCGTTGAGAAAGGTCAGTCCGAGGACTCGGCCGATGACTCGCGGAACGTTTCGGCCCGAACGAGTGGAGTCGCGATTTACCGTCACTCGCGCCGTTTCGCTTTCGACGTCACTTTCTCTCTCGTTCCTCTTACAAAAGCGCCCGCGTTACGCAACGCGCGTCGATACGCAACGCCGGAAAGATCCAATTTTCTCGAGAGGTGGCGAGAACCTGACGTCTCCCGGTGGCGGCCGGTCGCGGGCAGTCGCGGCCGGTCCGGAGGACACGCGCGACCCGCGCGGTCGCGTATCGGTGACAAGGTCGCCGGCGGGCGTCACGGTCGGGCGCGACCGGGCCAGATGGCGCTTCCGGGTCGCCGGGCCGAGAAGCCCTACGGTTCCGCGCCTCGAGACCTTGCCGAGGTCGACCTCTCGCGGGCTTCGCGAGAGGTCGCCCGGACGAATTCGGGAATCCGCGACCCCCGGGGCCGGAGATCGGCGGACCGCCCTTGAGAGAGGAGCCGCGGAGGAGAAAATCCCCGCGACGAGGATTACGAATCGATTCCAAGGAAAAAAAAAAAAAAAAAGAAAAAAAAACGGCAAAAACGCGGGGCGGGCGGTACCGACCGGCAATTGGTGCCGTTTAATCGCGGACTCGGTAAACGACCATTAATTCGTAACTGCCCCCTCCTTTTCTCTCCGTCTCGAGCACCGATACCGAAGGGGTTATATTCCCGCTTGATAGCGTCGCGGAGGGTTGCCGAGTATCGGTGCTATTTCCCAATTTACGCGGCCGATAATTGCCCCGCGCAACGAGAGCCGGGGATAATCGCACCTCGATTTGCCCGAGGAGCTTTTTCGAGCGACCCGGGAAATCTTATCCCATGTCAATGAACGCCGGAATAATCGGCGCCGTTTATCGCGAGCTCGCCGGGAGAAATTCGCCATGGAGTAAAATCCGGCCCCGCTCTGCCCGCCACGTTGCGCCAGAAGATGCTCTTCCTCGACGTTCCTCTTTCGGGATCAAAATCGGCCCGGGTTCTCTCGAGAGCTCGAGCCGAGCCTTCCGTTTTCCGGTCGCAAAAGAGGAGCAGCGCTCGAAAGAAAGGCCGGAAACGAGGATTCGTCCGTGACGTAAGGTCGAGGAGAGCGGGGCGAGCGGCGAGCGCCCCGGGGAACTCGAACGGAACGGTACGGAACGGAACGCGAGTTCGCCGAGATATCTCTGCCGGCGTGCACCCGAGGTCGTCGGGCCGCGAGATTATCAATCGCTGGACGCGAAACGCGCCAAAGGCGCGAAGGTTGCCACCGATCGCGTCCGATTTAGCCGCCTCCGAAGCCGAGCGATCCACGTCCCACGCGCCGCCCTCGATCGATCGATCCCGCGAATACTGCCGTAATCGATTTATCGCGCCTCGTAAAAGATTAACGGCGCCTTGGCCCCGGAAGCCTTCCTCGGAACCCCCTTTTTTACCGGTGATCCCTGTATCGTCCGATCGGGCACTCGTCTCGAAGTCGAGAGATTCGGCGGGGTCGCCTCGTTACCATAGGAACGAAAATCGAAATCAACGCCAAGTCGTTAACGAGAAGCGAGAAATCGGCGCAAGAGCGATGCACCTTGACCCCCGATTACGCCGCGGTACAACGATTCGGCGTTAATTCGGCGTTAATTCGGCGTTAATTCGAGCTCTTCCGAGTAAGCGGTTCTGCCCGTTATCAACGTTGCCGAGGAGGAAAACCGACGCCCGCCGCACGAGACGGACGTTCCGCGTATACCGATCGGTGTCAATCCGTCGCGTGAAGCGAGCGTTAAGAGAAGCGATTATCGGCCGAGTCCCTCCCCCTTGCCGATCCGGTTCCGCGGCGGGTGACGTCGCGCGTCACGTGGGAAAGCGTGGGCCCGATAAGAGCGCGGAGCGGCCTTGACTTTGGTGGAGGCGCTGCCGCGCACGCGCCGAGGGCAGAGTCCGCGAAGCGAGCGCGGCCCGGTCCATCCCTCGTCAAAGCCGATCGCGGTTATTGGCTAATTAAAATGAGCGCAACGGGGCGTCGGCGCCCGGTAGCGCGCCCCGACGACCCTCCGCGTCGCGGGGGGTCCCGGTCGATGTCGACCCCGCTCCGCGCCCGCGCGTCGCCGATTTCGCCCCGAGGCCATTCGAATCGGAACCTCCCACGCCGCTTTACGTCTCGCCCGAATCGTTTTCGAGGGTCTCCCCTCGTACTTTCCGACGCCCAAGAGCGTCGGCATCGATCAAGAATTTTTTCCCGATTTTTCCCTCGATCGGGAGTCTCCCCGACGGACTCCCGGACCTGCGTCTCCTCCGGGGCGAGATCCGAAACGTGCCGCCGCTTATCGGGGCGCGCGACCTTTTATATATATATATATATAATTCGAGGCCCGATACGAGGAGTCGCGATCGCCTTTGGAACGCCGAGCGACCTTTCCCTCTTATCGGGTGCAGCACCTTATCGATCGCGATTACGGATGTCATCTCGTATCGCTCCTCTTCGAGGTTATCGCTCCGGTTTTCGCGGCTTCTGGGACCGATACGCACCGGGGCGTCCGCACCGATTCCGCGACCCTCGTCTTCGGGAAAAGGTCCGCGGGAAAAAAAAAATCCTTATCACTCGTTCCTCGCTACGAATGGATTTTCGTCCCGCGTGTCGAGCCTCGATCGTCGCATTGGCCCGTCGCCTTTTTCGCAAGTGGCAGGTGTGTCGCCTCGGCGACTCGGAAAGAGCGAAAGAGAGGGAAAGGTGGCCGATAAATTACAAGTCGAACCTCGATCGAGTCACGAGATCCGAGTCTTGGCCTCCTTCGGCGCGAATCGCCGCGCGCGCCGATTCGCGGACGCCCGAGTCTTCCCATTTAATGTCAAGGGAACGGTCGATCTCTTTTGCAACGCACCGTTTACGCGCATCGTGGGACTCCCCTCTCCGTTGCAGGTGCACTCCGGACGAGGGCCCGAGAGGTCGCGCTTTCGCCCGAGTCGCCGCCGACTCGCCCGTTCCAGGATATCTAATCGAGGCTAAAAATACGTACCGCGATAATTAATGGGGTAACAATGGCGACTCGCACGGCGCAACTATGTCAACGCCGGAGATACATCGGCATCGGGAACCGACGCCGATTCGGCCCGAAATTTTGCGCGTCGCGAGGGAACCTGTCCGGTTGTCCAAGACGTACCAAAAGGGGACGAGAAAGGCGGACCGACCGAGTTCGGGAGAGCGAGAAGAAAAGGAAGAAGGAAGAAAAAGGAAGAAAAAGGACGAAAACGACCAACTCCGGCCTTTCCCGGTCCCAAGGCCGACCGGAGTCGACCGCGATCCGGCAAGGGACTTCGATTCGCGCCGCGCCTCGTCCTCGCGACGGAAGAAAATTTGAAATTTGGAAATTTTGCGCGTCGCGAGGGAACCTGTCCGGTTGTCCAAGACGTACCAAAAGGGGACGAGAAAGGCGGACGGACCGAGTTCGGGAGAGCGAGAAGAAAAGGAAGAAAAAGGAAGAAAAAGGACGAAAACGGCCAACTCCGGCCTTTCCCGGTCCCAAGGCCGAGCGGAGTCGACCGCGATCCGGCAAGGGACTTCGATTCGCGCCGCACCTCGTCCTCGCGACGGAAGAAAATTTGAAATTTGGAAATTTTGCGCGTCGCGAGGGAACCTGTCCGGTTGTCCAAGACGTACCAAAAGGAGGCGAGAAAGGCGAACCGACCGAGTTTGGGAGAGCGAGAAGAAAAGGAAGAAAAAAGGAGGAAAACGGCCAACTCCGGCCTTTCCCGGTCCCAAGGCCGACCGGAGTCGACCGCGATCCGGCAAGGGACTTCGATTCGCGCCGCGCCTCGTCCCCGCGACGGAAGAACCGGATTCCGCCCGGGAGGAGACTCTCGTCGCATCCGTCGCGCCTAGAGACAGAAGAAGAGATTCGAGGAAGTCGAGGACGCCGCGATTCCGCGAAGCGCGAAGAAGCCACCTCGCGGTTCCTCGAAGAACCGGTGCCACCGGGCGATTACGGATTTTCCGCCGTCCGATTGGAGGACGCGTCTAACGCGCCCGGGTTTCCGGCATCGGCGATATCGCGCCTCCTCCTTCGATCGACGAGACTCGTCCTCGAGGAGTTCCTAGGAAAGATACCCTCGTAACGAATCTCGCGATTATCCGGTATTATTTCCCGGTTGGCGCGCACTCGGCATTCCGCGCCGTTCCCACCGCGCGTCCACCTCGAGTCGCGAGCGCATGCGCGTCCACCGAGCACGTTCTAGAAGCGCCGCGACGGATCGACGGGTCCTAAAACGCAGCGGAGACGCGCGCCGCCCCCTGGCCCCGCGGGCGGAAACCGCCGACGGACGGCCGAGCGGAGGAGCGAAAGAGTCGGCGCAGGGACGAGCAAAGGGCTCCGAGAGAGACGGGGAAGGAGAGAGAGAGAGAGAAAGATCTCTCCAGAAGCCTCGGGACCGAGCCCACTCTCCCACGATTTCCCGAGTTCGCCTTTCTTCTCGGCGTCGAGGCACCCGCGGCGAGCGTTGATCTTTCCGGGCGAAGAGGAGGAAAAAGGCAAAGAGGAAAAAAGGCGCGCCGATGCCGGGGGCGGTCATCGATTTTTCCGCCGCCGATAAACAATTAACCCGATATGGAAATCGGGAGCCGTGGCTGCGTAATCGCGTTCGCTGTCCGTCTCTCTCGGTTGCGCGTAAATAGAACGAGACCAGAAATAACGTCGAACGCATATTTCGAGCGGGTTAGGTTAGGCCGGACGCGACGAACCGGCGTGCGCGCTCGCGATCCGCTTCGCCGTCGGGGCGCCGCCACCGTCGGTTAAAAACCCCGACGCGCCGTTAAACCGGCGTTCCCGGCAACCGCCTCCTCCACCTGCCCCTTTCTCCGGGAAAGAACCACGACCGCGAGGCGCTAACAAAGGAGCGAGATCCCTGCCGACGGGAGGACGCGCCAAGTAAAAAGGAGCGTCGCGACGCGGCCGACGAGAGCGTCCCGGTCGCTCGTTCGTTTTCGAATTCTTTCCCGAGGTCGAGTCTCATACTCACGTATTTCGCTGGCGAGGGCGATCTCGAGGTCCGGCTGGCCGCGCGCTCCGCTCTCGAGACGTCGGAAAGCCGCGGCGAGGGGTCTCACCGGAAACGCGCACGTAACTCGGTACTCCGCGTCTCTCCCTCTCTCCGAGGTCCTTTTCCTCGGGCGCGTCCGACGGCCGTCTCACTGGTCGCGCGCGACTCGGCCCGGACGAGGACGGTCGCGACCCGTCGTCCGGCGGCCGTCTCGCGGAGGAGTCTCGCTCGGCGGAGAGCGGAGTCGGTTACACAACGACGACGCGCGCAGTCGCCGCGGCGAACCAACTGACACTGACGGTCCGCGGCGCGGCGCGCACGCAGCGTTCGCCGAGCGCCGATTCCCCCACCGCCGGGAGGGAGAGAGAGAGATTGCCGCTTTTAGCTCGCTCCCTCGGGCCTCGCGGGAGTATCCGCGTTACTTCGCGGTTTACTTCGGTTTCGGAATTAACGAGTTACCGGACGTTTCCTTTCTCTTTTTCTCCGCCTCGTCGGAGCTCCCGACTCCCGGGGGAGTCGGGACCCGGTCCCTCGGGCTCGCGGGGCCCAGGGCCGACGGGGGACGTCCGCGCTCGTTCCCCTGCCCCGGTGCGCCCGCGGGCCGCGCGAGTAGCCGCGAGCTACGCGAGCCCGGCGGAGCCAGTAGCGGTCAGTGGCTCTCCGCTCGCGGAAGCGGTCCTCGCCGGCCACGGCGAGCGTCCCGACGCTCCTGGGGAGGGGCCCTCTCGAAATTCGACGGCTCTCCCAGGCGGGGGCGAGTCGTTTCTCGGACGAGTGGGGCGTTTCCTCCAGCTTTTCCCGCTACCCCGAAATCGTCCGAAGAAATCGACGTCGCGAGGGGCGAAGGGGAGTGCGCCGCGGGAGGATCTGTGAGACCAGTGACGCGGTACCGCGCCACTTTTTCCCTCGGGATGCACGCGACGTTACGCGTCTCTGAACAAATGGAGGAACGTTTCGAAGTTTCCTTTGCGACCGACAACTCCGGCCTATTTGCGCGCTCCGGGTCTTCAAAGGGGAAGACGCGAACGAAAGCGAAAACGAAAGCAACGGCGACCCCGCGCGATTCCTGACATCTCGCGCGGCCAAACCGTCGACGCAAGTCGCGACGGTCTTGGCAGGGACTTCGGAGCGCCCATTTTTGGCAGCGCCGCCAAAACGTCCGACATCGGTCGAGCGCTCTCTCCCGAAAACAGCCAGGAGGACTTCCTTGCTCCTCTCCTTCCCGAGCTCGATCGAGACGTCCCTTTCGATCCTCCACCGGGACGGAATGGACGCGATTGCGACGCGGGTTGTGCCGATGCATCGTGCCGAGCCAACCACCGCACTAATTTCTAATCGTATACTCCTCGTTTATCTATGCCGGCGCGCGTCCACTTCGCCCGGCGCGGACGGGGGGTCGTTAGTTTCGAAAGGTCTGCCCGTGTCGAAATGGACGGTCGCTTAAAATAATACGTCGGGCCAATAGCTACACGCGGAGAGGAATAAAAGCGTCGTCACGAGGCGATAAGTCTCGACGGATAAGGTTTACGCCGGTCTCCGTCTTCCGGCCGGCCGAGACTCGAAATCGATTCGCCTCCCTCCAGAGACCTTGTGCTCGAGTTCGCGCGATTAACTCTCGCCCGCGAAATTGACAATTTCGTCTACGACTTTCCGACGTCGCGACTCCGCAACCATGAGATATTTTTTATGAGGATCTATTCATACGCGGAAAAATCCGGATGAATTCCAGGATCGATCCCGAGGTCCTCGCAGATTTTCGAGATCGGGCGAAGGGACCTTTTGGGATTTCGGGAGAGGTCCTCCATGGGCGAAGTTCGAGTGCGCGTAATCTCCGTCCGGACAAAATTAGGTAACGGGCACTCGGCCAACCACCCTTCGTCCCGCCGGATGCCGCGACGAAGCGTCGGAGACGCGCCGGACGCGGGTTCTTGACTCCGGGGGGAGGCGGATCGCCGTCGTCGCGACGCGGGCCGATCTCCCGAAGGATTCCTGCCGCCGCGAGAAGCCCCGAATCGGCAGGAGGCGGCCGTCGAGGGAGTGGGCGGGTTTCGGCGAAGCCGGCGGGTCCGGATCGGCGCTCGCCGCGGCCGGACGCATTTTCCGAAGGAGGTTTATTGCGTCTAAACGGCGAAAGCCTCGGCACCGTGGCGCAACTCCGACCGCGGGGAAGGCGATCGATGTAACAATTATTATCGCCGATTTCGTTTTTACCCGGCGATTATGCGAACGCGGGCTCTCTCGCGGCCCGCGGGTTTTAGTATTCCAGTATTTCGCTCGGGCCCGGAGCCCGCAATTACCCATAAGTATACGAAGCGAAATACCAACGGGACGTGAAAACATCGCCGTTCGTTCATCGATAAATTGCGCGGATAGCGAGCCGCGGAGCGCCGATCTCGTCCTTTCCATTCCCCCCGGGAGGAATTCCGGAAAGAAAAAGAGGGAATTCTCCGAGGCAGAGAGAGGCGCTCGGGTTTCTCGCGGCGGTGACCCTCGCGCCCCTCGACCTCCGCCCGGACGACGCAACGTCGCTCTCCGATCGCCGGTCCCCGTCGTTGGGAAAGGCCGATTAAAGGCGGGCCAATTAAGGGTTCCGTCGCGGCCGAGCGCGAGCGAGATTCAGGCACAAAGGCGGCCGAGCGAAGTGAAGGTGGCGGTGACGTAACGCGTTCTCGGCGAGCGGCGAGCGGCGCGCGCTGCGCTCCCGGCGCCGCTCCTCGCGCGCTGCGTCGCCGCGCAGCGCGCCGACCGTCAAGGCCGTTCGCTCGCTCCGCGCCGCGCCGCCCGGGCGGACGCCCATTCGATCCCCGATTGGCGAACCGACCTCGAGCGTCCTTGCATCGAAAGCCGGAGTCTCTCCGGCGAGAGCGGCCGACGTAAGAGAGAGGTTCCGTCCCAAATGCCCGTGCATTTTCTTCCAGGGAACGCGGTCGATTGGGGTCCTCGAGCGGCGTCGAGCCGGTCGACGGGTTCTCGAAAAATTCCCGCCACCGGCAGCCATTCCACTTTTACTTTGTCATAAAAATCCGTCATGTGTATCAAGGCCACCGGGTAGCCGATCGAAACCCGCAAACTGGTCTGCCCGAAGGTGCCGCGAGCACCAATTTCCAGACCGAGAAACCGCGCCTTTCGGACCTCCGCGACTCCTTTCTACGCCCGTTTCCCTCCCCCGGTCTCTTTCGTTTCATCGAGCGCTTTCCGTCCTCGACGATAACGTCGAGGATAGCGAAGTCGGGGCTCGTAATCGAAAGGGAAAAGCGCGACGCTCGAGGGCTCGTAAACGAATCGTTTAATGGATCTTGCGGAGGAAACGAGGCGAGGTAAACCCGCGAGTACGCGGCCCGACGTGCGTCCAAACTATTCGCGCCGAATGGACGAAAAGACCCTGACCCAGTTGATCCGAAAGACGCTCGGATCCTTTTACTCCCGTGCACCGCTAACGAGATCGCGCTCGCGTTCGCTTTCTCTCTCTCTTCCTCCGGCTTCGAATCGTCGATCGATCGATGAAAACCGGCGTTATCCGGCGGATGGTATCGATTGATGCTTTTTCTGCTCGGAGACGTGGCAAAAGTACGGAAAATTTGGCGGAACGATTTCGAGCAACGACTCGATCGCCTCGAGCGGCCTTCGCAGCCGGATAATCGAGCTCGACCGTCCACGCGAGAGCGATTTAACACTATTCCTCCCAAAGGTGTCAAGAGACACGTTTTAAAATTTTAACTTGAAATTATCTTCAGTTTAATAATTTTTTCTCAATTAATGTTTTGACTTTTCGTATAACAATTGTTAGATTTATTTAGCGGTATCATTTTCCTCCAGTTCGTCAAAACCTTTTGGTCGAAATAGGTATGCACAAAATCCTGGTAGAAATAGTGTTAATCGGCGCGAATCGTTTCCAAGCCACCGATTCTTTCCTTCGAAGATAACCGTTTTGAAAATTCCATCGACGTTTTAATGTCTCGCAAAGGGTGGAGACGAATCGAGAAATTATAGGGATAACCCTTTTTCGATCGTGAAAATTCGCGTCCCTTGCGGTAAGGGCGTCCTTCCGGCGCCGAGGTCCTCCTCGGGGCTCTCGTCGAGTGGTATCGATTCGCGTCGACGAGCTCCCTCGATGCGAACGCGTTGCGGCAACCTTCGGTGTTCCTACGCCGAGGGATAAAAAAGAGAAAAGGATCTCGGGCGAAAAACGCACGCAGTCGGCCGGTATCGGCCCGATCTCGGTGATAAATCGGTGCGTGCTCTCGCGCCCACGTACGCGGGCATTCCGCCGCGTTACGTAGCATTACACGGCATTCCAGTGCTGGGCGAGACCGCGCGAGCTTTTCAGAGGTTCTTGCGCAACCTCCACCTCGAGCGCGGTTTCCGCGCGTTTCCGCGCCCGACCCTCAGAGATCCCTTGATTCCGACGCTCAGCGGTTTTTGCTTCCTCGGGGCGGATTTTCTCGATCCAAAAAACTCGAGCCGGTGCGTGTCCACTTCGATCCACCCGTCGGGTATCGATCTTTCGCTTCGGTTCTTGCCTTCTCCATTCGCGACACCTGTCGCCGATACGCTCGGGACTTTCCCCGGACGCTCGAGTTCGCCGTCGAGCCACCTACGCGCGGCCGAGCGATAAAATCGAAAACCAGGGTTAACGAACCGTGTCGTCCCTTGTAGTCTCCTCTAGGCTCGCGTAATCCGCGCCTTTTACACCTGGCGTGACTCGCGGACGCGCGCCGGTCGCCTTCCGACCTGGAATCGCGTTCTCGATCGACATTCGACCTCCGCGGTGCTCGGCGGAGAGCGCGCGATAGTGCGGACCCGATCGTCGCTTTCCTCGGAGTTCGATCCTCGATCGAGACGATCCATCCCGGAACGATGTAGAGCCGAAGATACGTCGCCGGACGTTTACTGGCTCGGTTGACCCGTCTCCGCGATTAGGATTTACGTCGACGCCCCCGCCTCGTCGAACCACCGTCGCGAGGACGGCCGAGTTGCGTGAAATCTTAGGCCGAAAAACTTTCCTTCGGTTTCGACGAGGCAATAAATTAATTTCGCAACCACCTGGCGCACCGACTCGACCCGAGTGATCTTGGCAGGAGGATTTCATTATCGTAAATATTTATTATTACCGAGCGCGGGGGCGTTTGCGCGTATATATGTGCCCATAATTATGAAAGTGGTCTGTCAAAATTTAAAAAAAAATGAGTTTATCAGTTATTTCACGCCATATTATTTCAAACGTAATTAATTCAATGTAATTTCGAAACAAAAAATATATGACTTAGACCACTTTCATAA